CTTTGAATAAGTAAAAACTTTATAGCGATTAATAATTAAATACCTTAGATCACTTTGTTTAATGCAGTTATTCATGGAATGGCTTTTCAAAATACGCCGTTGTAGGTGAAGTGATCGAAAAAATGGCACGATCCGCTTACTTTTAACTAATTGCTATCCTTGCAGCAATGCATGTCTGTGTACCAAAGCTCACCAAAGTCTCCCAAAAATTTGTGATTTGAAGGTGTGAACGCAAGAATACAAGAAGTCAAGAGAACGGACATACGGATAGACAAGCTCAGCTTTTTGAATCGATCGGTGTAATAAAACATCCTTACAGTATAAGAAGAATTTTTTCTGCAGTAAGTTTTACATCTTAAAAACAAGTGAAAGTGTGGTCCACCATTAAATACGGTACGCTAACAAGCTTACTCATATGCTCCTATAACGACTTTTCACAATAAGGTCTCATATAGAACGTGGTGGAAAAAGTGGTTCGATCCGAATCATTTTCAATGGCGTTCGTACTTAGGCCAAACCAAGCCTAAGATACGCAAAATTGTGATTACGTTATTACGTTAAAGAAACAACAATAAGAAAGAAACCGTAAAGTTGGAGACGAAAGCAATTTTAAGGAGCTTCTAATGACGTCACCTTTTTTTAATATTTTATTTAAACAAAAAATGTGTTTCTCTATCCTGGGGCCGCTCTAGGGAATTACAATTGATCTCAGGGGTTTGGCGACAGCTGAATCTAACAATCGTCTAGATTAGATTGTTTGTGTGGCAACACCCTCGTTGACTTGCTCAATTTTATCAATTATATCAGAGCGACCAAGTCTTTTTCACCAACTCTTTGCTTCGAGGTATGCTCTTTTCTCTTCACTTAGGTCTAGATAGCTTACCTGCATTAAATTGTCGAGTTTTGGAAGACGACATTAGAACACCCCTTTCCAGCTAACTGTGAAGCTCCTGCCACGGTTTTGCTATAACGCAGATTGCTTATCCGAGCTCTCATTTGTGGGGATGGGAGATGGTATTTTGACGTAATATATCTTAAAAATGATTCCTTCTAAATTACGCAACATATCTTTGCGTTGTCCGACGGTTACCTAATGTTCACCTCGAAATGTAATAAGTATAGAAAACTTCACAAACGTGATGCATTTAGCATAATAAAGTTGACTAAACAAGATAATCGAGCCATGTTCGGAATCGGAAAATTTCTTTGTTGCTTTGTGACATCACTGTCATATCTCACTCACTACTTAACTAACTTGAGTAAATAATAAATTGATATTTCAAAGGGAAAAGGATACGTGTCGTAATATGCATTTCAACTTGGATATATGGAATCATTTCAATTTTAAAAATTCTTCAATGTCTCTTCAAAACACAATATCAAAAAAATATTTAACTTAATATGCCTGGACTGATTATATAGTCTTCTTTTTTTCTTTCTAACTGAGTCGATAGCACAACTTTCCTTATAAAAATAATAAAATAATTCACTCTGAAGCTTTTATGCCTAATATATATATAAAGGAATTTTTTGTTCATCACTAAATGTTTTACTGTTTGATTTTCTCACACTTTTTCTTATGTATTTTAGTTTTAATTTGCGAGAATTCGCTCCCTTCGCCCCTAGAAAGAGAGCGTTACATGAACTATTATTATTATTATTATTATTAATTTCGCCAGAGAAATAAATTCTAAGACTAAACTCTTAAAAGCACTAGCATCTAAAGGCTATCGGCTTTTATTATTAACAACTCTACCGCACTTGAGATTCGAACCCACGACCATTGACTTGCTAGCTAGTCGAGATTCCTCGCCTTCGGCTACTCAGGCGGATACATGAACTATGGTAGATGGATTGCTTTTGAAAAAGCATAAGATAAATGTATCGTCAAAGCTGGATGCAGATGATTTTGAATATGCGTACACTTGGGCGTATGATTATTATATTCTACATTACTTATGTTAATGATTTGCTGGGTTTGTGTTGCTGCATTCAACACCCAAAGTGAGTTCAGTGAAAGCTGGCCCTTGCACCTACCACGCGATTCAGGATCATATTCAGGATCATAGTCGATTTCAAGACAATGACAATTGAAAAATCTCTCATCGTAGTCCCATTCTATGCAGTGATGTCTAGAGATATAAAAAACGAAGTTTCCGCATTAGTTGTTATTAGCAATAGTTGTGCCCCGGGGGGAAAACTTAATCTGATTATTGTTGAAACCCAACATTGAACACATAGCCGGATCATCTCGAAAATGTGGCAACAAATGAAAGAAAATCATTTGATGCATCTAAAGCGTGTTAGGCATTCTGCATGTATTTGCATACATTCATGGTTAGTAAGGCATATAGCAATGCAGGACAACTTGCCAATAAATATTTCTATCCTAAATCACTTATGGTGTAGGGTATATTAACTTGGTGCGATCGTATGTAATACGCAGAAGGTTTTAAGGTTAAGGACTCACCTTTTTTTATACCGATCGATTAAGAGCCATTCTCTGAATTGAACTAAGCCTGTTTGTCTGCCAGTCGTCTTGATGTCTGCCTATATATTCTTAAACTTTGCGTATACGTCGCAACTTTCAAGATTTGATTTTTTTAATGATATTTACTCGATACTCAGACAAATCAAAAAACTTTTGTTTTGGCTTAAATGATCCCTTAAATAGACAAAAATGAGATAAAAAATAGTGCGTTCTTCCCGAGACATACGTTTTCCAATTTTTCATGCCTCTTTCTTTTTTTTTTTGGGAGTTTCGTGAAAAGAAGATTTTCGAGAAAGTGACTTACGTAGGCTTTCGATGATGAGTTAATTATTCAGTTATTAATAAACGATTATTAATAAACGATTGACTTGTTTCCGCTCGTTCCGGTATTCGCCAATATTTCAAAAGTCTATGTCCCTTAAAAAATCCTTTATTCTTCTCTAGGTATAGGCTACAAGCTAGTTACTAAGTCACTTTGTTAATCTTTTTTAATTCAAATTTGGATGAGTTAAACTGCTTGCCGCACAGCCTCTTTGAGAGAAGGATCCTTGTCTGATTTCTTTTTAAATATTTTTCAAAAATGGTTGTTTTTTTAATGCTTGATCTGTTTCTAATCTCCTTTGAAAATATAAATTCTGCTATCTTTCCTTCTAGATGGTAGAAATTGTTAAAGCTGGTCACGTGGGTTTTGCAATTTTACAAAATTTATTTTTTATACAATACATCACTTGTGGGACGTGAACGTATAAATTTTGTGCAGCTTTATGTAACATCCAGAGGGACTTATCATGCCCGGCTTGTGTTAAATCTACAAATTGCAATTTTTTAAAGCTTTCGACAAGTAATGAATCGGATCGGATCACTCTCCATGCAAAGCCTTAATTTGACAAGACGTTACAAAAATAATGGTATTAAGTGAAATGGTGTAGGGTACTTAATGGTTGCTTGTAGTCCACTATAGTGCTTTTACTTACTTCAGCGACATCTGAATATCAATATCAAGATTATTTTTCACGGGGAGTAAATATCTAGAAGAAAGACGTTTTTCCAAAGTGCGGTTGTTAGAGAGAGAGCCTCTCAACAAGAGAGCCTCTGACAAGAGTGGCAAACTTTAATCACTCTTGTTTGGAAACTCTACTCTTGAAGAAGCTGCAAAGTGTCTTATCGCACTTTTGCATTTTTGTTGTTGATAAATTTTCCTTCTTTGTTCATAATGTATTTTACGAATATGTGGGGTCGATTTAACCCGAAATCGAATAATATCTTTTTGCGTACAACTCTGCTGCGAAATCGAACTTTAATTGTTTAAGATCTTTGCATTAGTCACAAGGCTGTACTTGTTAACTCGTAAGCTGTGAAGTATATAACGCTGATCACTGCGAGCATATTTTTCTGTAAGGATTCGCCGAAACGCACATTTCTACAGATTAATTTTCAAGGCATTTAAATGAAAATTTTTGAAATTGTTGTCTAAATTTTAGCCTTTTACAGGCTCAACAGCGTCAAAAAGGAAAAATTATTTTTTATACTCTACACCAGCTGTGATGCAACGATATATTAACCCTGTGCGGGTGTATGCAACTTTTAGGAAAATTTGAGATAGGTCTGCCTTCTCATTAAACGATTGAGTTCGAATCACTTGCTGAATCGATTTAAGCTTGTCTGTCCTTCCGCCTGTCTTGTGTTCTTGCGTTCAACCTACAATTCGCAATTTTTGCGAAACTTTGATAAACTTTGTTACTCCGATGTGGTTTGGCCTAAGCACGAAAGCGATTAAAAATGATCCGGATCGGACCACTTGTTCCACCACCTTCTATATGAGACCCCTATTGTGAAAAGTCGTTATAGGAGCATATGAGCAAGCTTGTTGGCTTATGGTATTTAATGGTGAACGTTGTAACACTAAAGTGTTCTTATTTGCCTTTAGCATGCAAAACTTATGTGCATAAAAAAAATTCTTTATGCTAAAAGAATGTTTTTGTTTTAACCTGTAAAACCTTCTGAGAACTTCATTGTAAACAAATTAATTTATAAAAAATTAACATTATCGGGAAGCTATGTGTTATTAGCTACATTTTTTGCGAGATTGTGTTTTGTTATTATCTTTGTGTTAAAAAAAAATTCAATTTTCATCTCACCTGTCATAAACGCATAAACGCCTCATATAATTGTATTAATATATAATTAAAGATACATGATATGGAGGCATCCCTGCGCTTGCTTGTTCATGAGATTATGAATGCGAATGAAATCTTGTTGCGTATGGCGCAGCTTATAGCACTTGTGCTTCGTCTACGTTACTGACATAAAGTGTTATGCATGCATTACAGACAAATATAACTTGAAAGAAATTTCATTTGCCAAACATTATTTAGTTACTTGTAACGCCTCATTAGAAGCAGTTGTGCTTCGTATAACATATCGTTTTTTTTTTTCTTAATAGCAAACGGAAACGGCGCAATTTCAGTGTGTTTCCTTGAAACATTGTAAACAAGAAAAAAAACAAAAAAAACTCATCTCGCAAAAGGCAGAAGGCGAAAAAATTATAATAATTTTTTTTATTAAATAAGAAAACAAAAAAGTGTTTGCAATGAGTGGCAAACTGAATACAAGTTCTCCGGTTTTACGGCATAATAACGATATGGAGCAAAAATCCTCGACGACGACCGGCACGTTCCTTAGTTCGTATACTATTGGCTGGGGAAAGTTTCGTCCAAAATGTCTGCAAAGATTTTGTACAGCGAAATGGGCACTTTTTTGGCTTTGCTGGGCAGGTGCTATGCAAGGTAAATTGATTGTTTCGCGTTTTGATCCAATAGTTACATGTTAGTATTACGCCATAATTGCTATCTTCTAAGCATATTTGATCGCTGCGTTAGTGCCACGCGCATATTTTCAGTTGACTTTCAGATTATGAACAGGAACAAATCATTATATAATATATTTATAGGTTATGATGAATCAATATTGAGGTTATGTATCGAACGGATAATATTTAATTTCTCGTTGAGGTTTTATTGTAAAAGAATAAACATTAATTTTGAAATCATGTTTTATTTGATTGAAATGCGCAGGCGGAAGAAGTGATAAACTGAAGAAATTGTCAACAACGACTTGAAAAGGTATCAAATACTTACTAAACTCTATGTAAATGGAAGGGTTTTTTTTCGTTCACCAAAGAAACAAATTCTAGAACAAGAAAGTAGGACATGCTCTAATGATAGATTAGCGCGTAGGTTATGATGCATCAATTTTGAGGTTATGTACAATAAAACAAATGATTGAACAGTTTCGAGAATTTAACTGAAAATGAAAAAATTAAGAAATATTTAAAATGAAAATGTGTTTTATTTGATGTAAACTCGTTCGTCATATATGCGAATAACTTTAGAACTTGCAAGCGGCAAATGAAAGGCTTAATCAATGCATTTAAAATGCAATAGTATAAGTTTTTCTTTTTTTTTTTTAAGAAGTTAGTCCAATAAATACCCAAAGTAGATAAATCGTCGTGGACGTCATGCCCGATTTCTGTGTCTTAACAAAATAAATACATAAGGTACATATTAACGTACAAGCTGTGATAAGTCAATGTTGAGATTATGACAAAACCAGATAATATAGTTTATGTCATCTAATTAATATAAAGCAAGTACATACATACATACAGACTTTTCGCATTATACTCTTCAAGTTCTTTTATTTGATACTCATATCGCATAATGGCGGGGTCTACCATATTCATTTCAAAATTCACCCATTTTTAGGCAGAGAATATAATCTCCATTTGGAGGAGTGTACAAAATAGTTTTAAATATTCCGTGTTGTTTGGATAAAAAGACCTCAAAAAAGTGAAAAAATAATATTTAATTACTTGTAACTTTGTGTGGGCATGGCCGATCCTTTCCATTTTTGCACGCAAGTGCGGAAACCTTCAGCCTTCCAGCTTTACTAACCAACATGAATTCGTTGCGTTTCGTTACTCGGAATTTGTGAAAGTGGATTCCAAATATATATTTCCTCAATAACTCGAATAGTTCCTATTTTTTTCGGGGGTCTCAACGCTTTCATACAGAGTCTTTTGCTTTTTTTTGATGAAATTTTTTGTAAAAAATCAAACTTTGGCGTTCACTTTATTGGATCTTAAGAATACAAAAATCGAATGCGTCTTCTTTCATTTATGTTTTCTTTTCGCAAGAATGCTTTTAAAAAAGGGAAACTGTATAGTGCGAGAGGACGACTCCACCAAAGATATGTATGAATGTATGAATAAGAAAAAAAGAGAACACAATTTTGCATAAAAGGATAACTGACATAAATTTCCTGAAAAGGTGATAACTCATCGCAAGTAAATAAGTCTTTGAATAGAATTATTAATGTTGACCTAATGAGATGTGTTTCGTATGAAAGCAAAGAGTAATCACATATGCTTTTGCTTTATGTAGGAAAGCCGGCATTTTGCATTCTTCACTTTTGCTATGGAAAATTTTATACAAAGTAAGCAACCTTTCGATTTCGTTCCAGTGTGGCATACAAATAATGCTGGACTACACTTTGCATAATTTGTGGGAAATAAAATCTCCAATAGTCCAGCCTAGCATCGAATTTAATGCAAATCATAGCATGGAATAGAAAACACCTGCAAGAGCTTCTGATCTATCTTTTTACAAACAGCACAAACGTAATCTTGCGCTTAGTCAAATTATGAGAGTATTGCTGACGCGTCTTAAATTTCTTTGACTTTATTTGGTGGCAGTGCTTCCTGTTTTTTCAATTTCTCGAAACATCGTAGTTCACATTTTTGTTTGTCCACCTGAACTTATTGCCCGCCTGAACTCCTGTCTAATTATTTGTTGTAAAAGTTAACTCGTGGCTGCTCGGGCTGCTTTACAAAAGAAAACCGTATTAACTCGAAAAAAATTATGAAAAATATTTTATTCAAAGGCTTGCTTGTCGTTAGCTGTCCTTTCCATTGCCATTTTTCTAACCACCAAATATAATTGGGGTACGGAAAGAGTGAAAGATCACTCGATTGATAATTGGAGTACTGAACGAGTGAAAGAGTGATTGATCTTTGACGTTATTTATGTGTAGGCCGTTGTTTTGTGGACGATTGACTATAACTTATTTGTTAGAAGTGGGGATGTCTTGCGAATACACTGTGGAAGGTAGCACATTCCCATTCAATCCTTCTAGCGTTCTCTATGCTGGCTCTGCAATGTGCGACCGATCGTCTTCATGTTGAAAAATCAGTTTATACAATGCTTTTTTGGCATTGTTTCTTTAAAGCTCAACTCTAGTTGAAACAATTTATAACACTTTATGCCTCTAAAGATCTTTGACTTTTCGCAGATATTAAGAGCGCTTTTTATCTGCTTAATAGTATTTTGTCCTGAAAATAAAACAAGTAAAAATATTATATTCGGTCGTGACCGAACATTTTATACCCATCACCATCACCGTTGGCCTAAAAAAGACGAAAAAAGTGAAAGAACTAAATATTTATGCTCTATAATATCGAGTGGGCGCGGCTAATTTTTTATATTTTCAGCATAAAAGTTTTAGCGACGAAGGCATGCGGACGTTGTAGGCGTCATCTTGGAAAAGTTGAAATTATTTCCAAATTCTTTTACTAAGTTTTAGGCGATAACTTCATTTCCGCGAACAGGAGATTGTTTATCAAAAGTACTACACAGTTGCCGCGGACAGACAGATGGACAAACGAACTGACGGACATGATTTGAAAGGGGTCAAAAATTTATATACTTGAGCTGTGAGCTTTTTTTTTGAAGCTTGTTCCTGCGTCTTATAAAGATATTGAAAAAGAATTAAATGTTGGTTAGACGTGGTCCACTTTTGTCCATAGAATATGCCTTAGGATTTTTGTACATTTATCTGCTATGATTTTTGAGTAACGACCAAAAAAACGAACTTTTAATTCCATTTAAAAAATAAAAATGTTCTTAGTTTATGATGTGATGTGGGTGTGTCCTTCAACCGATCTGGCTCATTTTCAATACCAACGTGCTTTCAAGAACTTGTCATGTTTCTGCCAAGTTTGCAAGTCGTTACCTTCATTTTTGCGGACGGACAGACGGACATGCTCAAATCGACTTTGAATTTGAGGTTGATCAAGAATGTGGGGGCATTGCAAAAGTTTTGACAAAATTAACCTACGCCACATCTTTCGGTTGCAAAGACAATGAAACTCTTTTCGTTTGACAAATGGTTCGATTTATTCGAAACCATAAAAACCGTGCTGGTATAAATTGTAGAGAAGCTTAAGCGTAGTACCTTCACCATCGAAAATCTCAACTTGGTACGCTCTAATAAAGAAAGTCAGACTAACTTGTAGCGATTTTTTCATATATTTGCTATATATATGTTCTTCTTCTTAAATATCCTGTGGGCTTACTTTTTATACTTTATTGCTCTATTGATGAAAAGGTGCAACACACTAAAGATACACGTGAGTGTGTTGGTTGTGAAATAAATTTATCGATTATTTACTTACAATTCAGAGAAGTTTGAATTCAGACCATTTGTGCCGTTGACTTTTAGGCAAATACAAATAATTCGTTAAATTGTTGATGAGGCTTTGGCAAGATCTGATTGAAGCCGCGATTGCAAAGAGAACACTAACATAGACCTTTTTCCGTTTCTAATGAAATAGTTTAATCACAGAAGTAGGCAATGTTCGCCTTAAGCTAAGCGTATTGGCGACGCTTCATCGTAATATTTTAATTTTCATCATCTAAACGTTGTTTCAGATGTTTCAAGTTCACAACTTGCAGATCAAGGATGAAATCGAAAAAAAAATACCGCTTCTTCAATGATATCGAAGTAGAATTAGTTGGAAAGAGGGCAATCTCACATAGGTATTCTTGACGATTACACACATGATCCTTGAATTTTTCTTATAATAAATTGATGGCGTCATGAATGGCCAAATTGAAGTCATCTGGATCGCGCGTTTCTTTAGCGTTCTCCATTGAGTGTAACTGCAATGTCATCTTCATTTTCAAAGATGACACTTCTGTTCGAAACAAAAGAAGAAGAAGAAGAAAGAAAAGTCAACTTTGGTATATGTGCAGGCTTTTCACGAATCATAGATGCGTTCTCCCTTCACTAAAAGAGCGACGTTCCTTAATTTATTAGGAAGCCATTTAACCATACATGAGCTTCATCTCAAACGCACGATTCCTCGTTTTCATAGTAATTTCTATAGGCTGTACAATTATGTCTGTATTGTATTCCAAAAATAATGGCAAGATTGAAGCCATATATTGAAAAATGGTTTGATTCTATGAACAATGTACCGTTTGGTTCTTTCAGATATTTTCAAGCTTTCACGAATACAATCTCGTACATAATACCTATTAAGATTTTAGATTTTATTTTCTTCTTTTTTTTTTCCTCCCTTGAAGTGGTGCACATCTTTGTCTTCGTTTTCACCATTTGCTTTTAAAAAGACAAAAGAACTTTGATTCCTGTTGATGAATATCCGAGATTTTAGTCAAGAATTGTTTATACATATTCTCTCATATTCACTGTTGTTCACTGCTTTTGAAAACTGTTTATCGTACACATGTAGTAACCAAAATTGACCATAAATTTTCCATAATTCATGCAAATATCACATAGGCTGATTAATATATTTAGTCACGTGCCACGTAAAGTTAAAGAGGAATTTACTGCAGATGTAATGAAAACGCTTACGAAGATTTATAGCATCATGTTGACGGTTTCATCTATGAAAAAATATTCGCATATATGTTTATACATAGGTCTCGTTGTTGTTGTTATTAATGATGATGATGATGATGATGATGATGATGATGATGGTGATGCATGCATGCATGCTGTGTGCCGTACTTACAACACATGTATATTATATGCGAATATGTGTGCGAATAATAAAAATAAGGACCGAAATTGTGGTATTCTTTGGTATTTTAATGCATTAAAAACATTAACTAAATATTTGATATGTAGCCCACTGATAATTGTAACTTATCGAGACTAGTGTGGAAAAAACGTCGTGTGCACGTAATCTGCGTACCGGCTGCTTTTATGGGCAACGGCTTGAACATATTGCTTCGATTTATTTGGTTAGCCGACCTAGTATTTTGCAGCTGGAATAATTTAATATTAAAGTTATTGCACTAAAATTAAATTATGTAAAAAAAAAAAAAAAAAACGAAAATTCTATGAAAATGTATTTACGCGTAATGACGAGACAACCACGAACAACACTGAAGATTCAAAATTTGTTTCGTGGACTATTTCAATTAATAAATGGTTTCGGTATTGAAATAAATGACTTTTGTAACGATATTAAATTAACTTCATTTTAGTTCTCCTACTTATTTTTTTAGGAGAGATCGCAGAAAACGCCCTTTACGAGAGTGTGTTATAATGTGCCTTAGCCACGAACAGTTCGTTACAAATCAAATTTGTTTCTCACTTATGGCGGACAAGATTTGCTCCAGATCACAGAACAGAACACGCAGACAGAGTAGTGAGATATTGGGTCTTATTGTGATGTCGCCGAAAGATATGAATTGTCGTTCGTTAGGTCCTTGAGAAAAACTTCGCTCAGGAGCCCGTATCAACTAATCGCTTTCAACTAATAACTGTGAAGGAAATCTTATCACTCGGGATCTCTCTAAAGACATTGGCGAGGGAAATGGTACTAAACAACAGCCTTGGCACACAGATCAGAGTATATATTCTTCTCCTATTGACTTGAAATACGTAGGCCGGTTTATCTTTATATGTCACATAGTATTACGAGCTGTGGTTGGTCCGGTTGTCCATGATTTGAAAATCGTATAGCTATCAAATGGCCGCATTAGTGGCTATCATTCGTCCGCTGTGGTGCAGAAGCGTGTAGAAGGGGATGATTTGTAAGAGCGTACAGTAGGCATCGCATCTTACTCCCTTTAATTTTCGAATGATTTTCGAAAATTAAGACAGTTTCGCAGTCCTTAAGCGCATCGACTTAGCACGAGTCTAACCTGTGCGTGACAATAATGCTAAGCAATGCAAAGCACATCCCTGTTTCAGCTGACGCTCTCCAACATGAATACGCATTGAACTCAAAACTTAGATAGAGGAAAATAGCTCTTGGTTGACATAGAATTCATGCCGGCTTTGATCGTTAGCGCCATCGTTGTTTGTTTGCAGCGCTTATTAATTACCCGGACCATCAAATGAACACTTCCTACAAGTGCATAGATTTAATTATTATACTCTTAAGTCAGTTTGGTTTTGGGGCGTATATGTTGCTGGTGGCACTGAAGCATATAATCGTCCTTGGACTTGATACTTTTCACCTCGGTAGCGTACATAATGAACGTTACGATGCCTTTGTAAGTCACAGACATAGAACTCGGCTTCACAGATGTGATAGTGGAAACTCGTTGCAGAGTTCAAAGAGGAGATCATGTGACCATGTGATATATCGTTTGTCTCACATATTCATCTACCACCTATAGTGTAGACTATAGTACGTGGTAGACGAACTTGGCTAAATTGGCTTAGATACCTTGATTATCTTGATTAAGAAATAAAATTCACATTTTAAGCACATTTATAAAAGCACAAGCTCCTACATCAGCTTTCAGGAGCTTATATGCTGTATGTGGCTCTTAATTATTATTGAACGAAATTGTTATGTTATCGTGTCTTTCATGTTTTCTTATTTATAGAATGCTCATTAACTTTAAATTTATGCACATGATAACAGTCGCCAATAGAAAGCATTGTTGCACTTTAATTGAGACAATATTTTTTCTCTTATTAATAACCATCGCTGATAAGTCATATGGCCGTTACATCGATTAATCGTGATACAGCACGAAAAGCAGTTAGTTAAACTCTCTCAGCCTTACTTTATATCGCGTATGCAACAAAATATTATATATATATATATATATATATGAGAAATACTTTATTTAACTGAAAAGTTAATCTCGATTATATGCCATCTATTTAGGTGAATTCGCTCTCTATAACACCAATAAGTCCGGATATGTTCCGAGAAATTAAAGAGAAGGTGATAGGAAATAGTCCTATGGTCCCTAGCACCTTCTGTAGCTACGACAGTACATCAACCACAATAATTGACTCTTTGCACTCGAGGGCTCCGAAGCGGAGCCATTTAATATTGATCTTCAAACTCGAGGGCTCCGCTACGGAGACATTGCAAATAATTTGCAGTTCTTAACGTAAAAACAAAAACAAATCGTAAAAACTAGTATTCGGGTGTTTTGTTGCTGGTGACAAATCACGGTCGCGGATTGTAATACGAATGAAAACATACTTCGAGTGCATTGGATGAACCAGCTTGACAGTCGCCCTTCTTAATTGCTTATACTAAGCTTAGCTATGCACTTAACTGCAAATTGAATTTTTGTTCAGTCGTTGATTCTCATAGGTTCTTCTTAAAATTTATCCGCTAAAGATACATTGAACAAGTAGAGTTAGTCTAATTTTTATTTCCATTAATCTTGAATAACTAAGCGTCGGTCGAACGAACGCTGTCATTCCCCTCTAGTCTTAATAGCATTTTCATTTACGTTCAACTTAATTGAAAGAGTGCGCCGGAAACTTAATCTGGAAGGTTAAACAGTTATTGTCCAAATTAATCTAAAGCCTTCTTAACGTATATAAGCTTACATAAGTTAGTCAAACTTAATACGTTTTTATATAAATAGAAATTTCGTTTTTCTTGTGAAAACATTCTTAGCTGCAAGCCATTTTCTGATCCAATTTATGTATGTCTGTCCGTCTGTCCGTCAAATATTTTATTCAAATTCGGTCCATTAAAGTGGCACATGGTACATGGAATATGAAAAGCATAATATTGAAAATGGATGTCTTAACTCCCATTTGTCATGTCTGTCCTCTTTCAAAAAAGCCACAATGTGAAAAAGACAATCACTATTTCCCAACAAAATTCCGTCAAACGTAGCATTTTTGTATAGTAAAGGAATTTGGAAATTGTGGATGCGATCGAAGCAATCTTTGAAGCATTCTATGCGGTAATAAGATGTAACTTTTAGCAATTCACGGCCTCGTCCCACGATCAACAATTTTACTAGGTAAAGCGGTACCTTTGATCTGGTGGCCGGCCTTGCTTAAATACAAAGTTGTTACTTGTTTAGGTGTAAGTTTCTCTTTAGCAGCTTCGTATCATAACATTTTGAGCAAAAAAACGCCGCATACTTAAGGAAGATTCTTACTACGACGTGCTTAACGAGCACACGTCAAACGCAGAGCATGTGCAATATGAAATTATGGTTATGATGAAATGACTTGACAAATGGACACAAATAGCTTCTAAGTTAGATTATTGTTATGGTAAATAGATATTCGTAATGATAAAATTTTATGAGGAAGTTCGACGGAAGGACGCATGGACAGATCATGACATATATAACGAATGCAGTGATTTTCTTCCCTGAGATGCATTTGCTTGAAAAAGTGATTGTAGTTTCGTCCCTTATCACAAAGTCCATTAAGTTTTCCGTTCAGGAATTCCGCCATTAATATGACGTCAGTAATTATTCATCATAATAAACAATAAGCGAAATACATTTTTAGGTCTAATAGTAAATGGTCTTATTAATGTGGTTATTACGACAATTGAGAAACGTTTCGGATTACGTTCTCGTCAAACTGGACTTGTGGCAAGCGGTTACGACATCGCCTCTTTTATATGCCTCATACCGGTTACATACTTTGGTGGTCATACGAATTCATCGAAATCTCGTATCATAGCCACTGGACTTTTGCTGCTCGGCTTAGGATCCTTAGTATTTTCAATTCCACATTTTCTTATTGGCCATTATCGTGTCACTGCTGCTGAGACGAATACATGTTCCGTCCAAACGAATGCAATTAATACAACGATATTTCAGGTTCAGGTTCGTATCAATACGAAGTTGTACTAAATTAAAATGAGTATGTAAATTACACTCTGTCATATATATGTATTTTATTTTTATGACGTAGTATGAGAATGAAGCAAATACAAATGGAATGATGAGCGATGATTATGAAAATCCCGTATGGTTTGCTTGGTGGCTGTTCTTTGTAGCGCAAGTGTTGCACGGTGCTGGTGCGTCTCCGCTATTCACACTCGGCGTTACCTATATAGATGAGAATGTTTCAAAGAAGATGTCATCTGTCTATTTAGGTAATTGAAATTTCAATCTAAATTCTTATTTATGCATGCATTAATTTACATTTTATTTTTCTATTGTTAAGCTATGCTTGCATAAGCCATTTGTTCTTATTCGCATACTTTCAGTGAAGCAAAAATTCCAATTTGAAAATTTTCCTTTCATTGATTGAAAATTGTCACTATTGTCTATGAAACGCTATTCACTACAACTCTTCACATCTACCACCACCACCACCACCACGTGGGGCAAGGGCATATTGGTTTGATCCTTTCATTTGCAACTTGTGCAAATACAAGCATTTAGTCATCATGTAATCAAGCATATTTTGTGACACATTTGTAACTATTTTCAAAATGGCATTTAGGTAATCCGTGGAAATATGATGTTGTTCGTCATCGCATTTTGAAGATTGATCGAATTTTTTTAGCGTTCCTTCTGCTAAAAAACTTAGTGCGAATCGTCCTCTTTTATCTTCTACGTTGACTTAACGGACAAAGGGATAAATATACCCAAACTAACGGGCAAAAGGCAAAAAAACGAACGAATAAGGCGACAGCTAACCGTCATTGCAAACGTAGTGGCCTTGGTGTATGGTATATTTTTTTCTTATATATTTGAACTTTTTTTTTGCTAACTAACCTGATATAAGAAAAAAATAAAACATTCTCAGCTCCAACCGTTACAACTTGTGGGGAAACGTTTCAAAAATCTAACATCATCGTGTCATTCCATGCCTTCTGATCAACACTAAATTTGTCTAACATTCCTACTCTTTCTCAGGTCAAGCAACTGATTGTATTGCAAACCTATTGCCTTAAATTTTGCTACAATCGTAGCTAATATGAAAATCACTGAGTATCCTCTGCTAGGTGCCACGGTGGACCAAAAAAAAACAAAAAAAAAATGGAGGTTATTCGGGCCCTTTTGCTGTAAGGCGAAGAAATTGAAGAAACAAATGCCACGTTGCGATGCTCCTAAGTCTGATTTCTATCTACCATTCTTGTGTCCACAGACAATTATGTCAGTATCACTAGGAAAAAAAAAATTATCTGCCGACCAATCACTTCGAGTTCTTTATAACAAGTTTGTTGCCAGGAGACGTCTAACTGGGCGTGCAAGAACTACCACTGTTTATGCCAAACTTGAAGTCGATAGCTTCATTTTTGGGGTCAGGAGAATGTTTACAACAGATTTTACGCAGACGGATAGACGGACAGACGGACAGATGGATAGATGGACATGCTTAAATCGATTTAGAATTTGATGCTGAGATCAGGAACATATACACTTTGTTGGATCTCTGATGCTTCCTTCTGGGCAAACGCTGGTTGCAAACGTTTTCACAAAATGAATATACCCCTGATCCTTCGGTGATGGGTATAAAAAGTCTTTCATTGCTTAATACGTAAACGCGAATAATTTTTTACGCATTTTTTGAATATTGTCACTGCTGAAATCCATGCAGGAAAATATAAGTATCTAGCAGTCTTGGAACAGCGAGTTTTTTAATGCTTTGACAAAGACGCAGCTTAAGTTTGGTTAATTCTATAAGGATTCTAATGAAAGATGACCCAATATGCTCTCATTTGTAATATTTCATGATGCAAATTGGTGCCTAATAAGTTAATCATATGGAATTTGAACCCTACAAATACACTTTTTTAATTTGTGGTTTGGAATGGCGGACGCAACTGGCAAATAATAAAGTATTCGGGAAGTAGATTAAGTTCATTAAATTTAAATCATGTGGGCTTTCATGAAAATTAAGCATTTATGTAAAAATAATAAATAATTTTTGGCAGGGGAATGACTCTATTAGGCGAAATGGTGTAAGGTATCTAATAGTCGACCTTGCCCTGGTTTTAATTGCTAGTTCATTTAACTAGACGCACAGTTAGGATAACGTGTCCATTCATTTTGATTCTTCGGAGTAGATGACGGTGGAAATGACGGCCAGAAATACTCGATTTTTTGTTATGGTTTTGCTGGAAAAATAAAAACACGACAGCCCTGCAGAAACTACGGGATTTCTTATCTTGGAAATAAGTTTCTCCTTTTTCTGATCCGAAGCCACTCTGTTTATATATATGAGATATTATCGGATAACGTTGTTAGAAAACTCCGTTTAACGGCTACTTCCAGTTCAACGCGGTAACCGAGAAGCGAATTTTTTTATTACTGAGCAGAGAAGAGACGATTTCGGAATAATGTTAAGCGCTTTTGGAAGGATATTGCTTTGATTTTTCTTCAAAAATTGATGTTTGCATATAATATGCGACGGTGTGTAGTTGCGATGCAGTCACTTAACGTTTTGTCATGAATTTGAAACTTTTTTGTAAATAATTTAATGCAAATCAAAATGAATGCTTCGACAGACACCCGCTCTTATTGACTGCTTGATCTGCTGGCCCTTTTGACACACCACACAATAATTGGACTTGTTTTGAATCATTTTTAGCATAAGGCTCGATTGTTATTAATCGGTTACTGTTTGTGCATAGCAAACATAAATTGATCGTCTCATGATCAATACCTATAGAAATAATATAAGATTCACTTCAATCATATCATGAATTTTTCCGTTATCTTTCAGTGGAATGTGCGGAATTTACATCTTTTTTTTATTTAGTGTGGGGCAACCATGGGTACTTGATTGTTTGCAAAAAATTTGTTATGTCTTTAGTTACGTAGCGATCGGTGAAGCGCAGCCAACTGTTCTCTTACAATTTTCGCTGGTGTAGCCGATCTTCAAAATATTTAGAGAAAAGTAATATTTTTTACAACATTTTAATAAAATGGTGGCGTCCGTACCAGGGCAGAGTATCGTATTCGTTAGTGCGTGCTTTAACATTTTCATGTGAGCTTCAGTGCAAGGCTAATAAGAAAGCAATGTTAGCAATGTTTTTGGAAATGTATTACAACAATCTGTCAACAACCTTTGCTCAGAAGATTTAATTCTGGCGACTATGATCTTTCTGACTGGCCATGCAATGGACGACGATGTGATGTAATGTCTAGCCGCGGATGATCCAAGTTTGAGTGCACAAGTTTGAGGAATATGAGTACGCCATCTGTCTGTCTGAGACAAAAACCAAAATATTCGTCGATCAGTTTGCGTTTCATTCGTATCAAGATTTCGTTGAGACCGTTCCATTTCTTAACAAAATCGTTATCGGACATGAAAAATTGCTTATGCTTATTGCAACATAAATTGTCTCAAGTAATGGCTCTTTATAAATCAAAGCCCAATATCAAGCCATAAATCCAAGTCCAATACCAAGGACTCATCTTGAGTCATATTTTACTTCACGAACTTTCTATTTCTACAAAAGTAATCGATCACTTATGAGTCTTCCTAATATTTATGTATATAGTATATCGTGAACTTAAAGTTGACCTTGGCTTAGAAGTCGTACACTTAGTATATGGGAACAACGCCATATTTTGTTAATATTAAAAACATTCTGTATATATATTTTATTGCGTGGCTTTAAAAAACATTTGTGCAAAAATTTAAATCAATTAGTTGTGGCGTGTGTTGTGTAATCACTTGAAAATAGATATAAAATTTTATATTTTTATTTTTTTTTTATAGGTTCAATCGTAGGTTATGTTAAGCAATAGCGAGACGTCAATACGTTAGAAAAGAATTTTTAATAGGTTGGTTAGCCGTGCGCTCTCATGATTTCATGAATCCATTTACTGTTTCCCTCGTGCTTTATGGAAGTATAAACGATTGGTAATAGGTTTTCGCCACAATTTTTTTCAGAAAAACTTAAGAGACCAAGTAACTCTGGTTCGTAGGGATTGCGAAATATTAAGGGACTACCAGCATTACCACCACAGGTGGAATCAAAGCTTACGTTATTATAAGTGCAAATTTGATCTTCACTTAGTTTATCTTTCCAAAATGGCTCACATATCTTTTTACTGATTATTTTGACGTTAAGTGTTGTTAATCCTATGTCCCAATCGCCTGCGTAGCCCCAAGTGAAAATTTCACCTTCTCCGTGCTTATGTCGTGTTAAAGATATCTTGTAAACCGATGTTGTAAATTGGAAGGGTTTCTCCACATGAGCTAGAGCAATGTTATGAGGACCATTCGGATATTCTTCCTGATAGTTGTTATGTCTTATTACCATAGACGTGTTTCGGATTTGCGCATATTGCTCTTTTTGCAGCCAGTGTAAGCCAGCGAAAATTTCGCACTTATCATCCTTCAAGCAGTAAGCTGTGCTTACAATCCAATTTGTGGCAATAATCGCGCCTTCACAAAAACCACCCGTATGCCTTATAGCAACTAGAAAAGGTGCCGAATTTAGTTTAGCGGGCAGGGGGCTTACGAATTCGATTGAAGATGCCTCGTCACTATCAACGGTCTCGGCAAATACAATGGATTTTCTTGTTGCGCAGTCTTCTCCTGTTGCAGACCGTCCTGTGCCAGTTTGTGGCTGGTCGGTGGCAGTTTGTGGCTGTCCTGTGGCAGTTTTTGGTTGGTCTGTGACAACTTTTGGCTGGTCCGTGGCAACTGGTGCCTGATTTTCACCGTCCTGTGCCACCGCTGAATAGCCATCCTCTCTCCAGGCAATCATTGCAACTGCGAAAGTAATCAGCCAAAAGTAATTCATCTCAATCGCTATCCTTAATAGAAAAATTCTAATCATTTACACTAAAATAATATCAATATTTTTGCTCTTCGTGTACGAATAGTTTACGCTTAAATTTCTTTATGAGATTTACTTTGCGAGTGGCTTTCTTTTATACTCAACTCAAGTTAGTTGTTATGTTATTGTTCGTGGAACATGTTATGGTCAATTTTATAATTTTTTTTTTTTTTTTTTTTTTTTTTTGGTTATCGATAATATTAAGTATACCTGTTTTTCTAAATTAGAATTTAATTTGCTCTGTTCTGTTACAAACGCAGAGAGAGATTTAAGTTAATTAAAAAAAAATAAAATTAGAAAAGTGTAAGTTGTTAATAATTAATAAAAAAAAAAATAAAAAAAAATATAAGAAAATTAAATCGGAACCAATATGCAAGCCCTTTATAAAGCTTAAGATATTTCATTTAATGAAAAAAATAAATAAAAACATTTTCTATTCTAATCTCTACATAGCTACATAAGATTAAGTAGAATAATCATCTAATGCCTAATGTAGTTAATGACTTGGATTGGTTAAATGCGATTGGAAAACCCATTGCAGAGAGTGAATATCTATCTATCTAGCGACGGATATGACTCATTTTGAGACTATATAACATATCGGTAGATACTTTTCGGGTTTGAAGGAAGAGAAACTATTTTCTTTCTCTTCTTTCGAAATTGTGATTTTATTTCCCACCAAATAGAATCAATCCACCGAGCTTCTAACATTTCGTCGCCTTTTTCATAGAATTATTTGTTAAAATTTAAAAAATGAGTTTATATACATATACATATATAAATATAAACATAGTAAACACATTGCCTTTTGACATCTTTTATATATCGCTTATATCGCTTTTATTGAAAATGATTTTTTTTTTTTGATATTTTTTGGTGTGACCTACCGCTTTTGAGTTATACGACTTCTAACAAATTGTTGTTTTCGCCAAACAGGAATTATCATTCGAGTACGTGAGTAACCAATGCTCTGAAAGCCAATGTTCAATCAATATCCGATATTCGAAAGCTAGCGTCACTAGAACTCGTGAAGACACGATTGAAATGACATTATACGATGACAGTTGTTGTATAACCATCGGCACTTTCTAAAAATATTACGATTACTTGCAGAAATTATTGATCGCGAGATTTACAAGCTACTGATTTACATGCGTATATATGTACGTTTCTCCGCGAAGGGTGTTCGAACTATACAATTGACATATTTAGGACCGTGGTGAGCAGCGTTTATAAAAATAAAAGCTTCTGCAAATTTCGCTGCTATAATACTTGCCCGATCTTTCGTTTCGTTCGCACAATACTTTTCGTTTATCAGAAAATCTATTATGTTATTCTATTCTATATAGCGGAATTCACTCGCGATCACTCGCGATTGCTCGGGTAGACACCATGTTTGGCCCATACTAAGCGCTACTATGCTTTTAAATTATTGAACATGTGATAAAGACTACAATTGTCAAGAAAATTGCAAGGTCACCATCCGAAATTGGCTATTGTTCATATGTCGCAAAGGCATTCTATATTTTCTTAAACCGCTTTCATCGTAAATCTTCATGGGCTTTGATTGATTATCGTTGTCACATTTCGCCCTCGACGAAGAAAAGATGACAATACAAATAGCAAAAAAAAAAAATCAAATATTAGAAAATGACGGATAACATTTCCTATAGATAGATAGGCTCTAAATTTGATGGTCTGCCACCTGCCTAGACTGTGGTAGATGCTTGATGCAAAGTTCTGCTTAATCACATACTTTACGTAAATGCTTCAACTTTCACAACTAAAATCACGGCAAAGGGCCTTCAAGCAATGAGCTTTGTTCATAAAAACAATCTCAAAACTGTTATTGACACTCCGAGATCCATCAACACCGAACTGAAGCGCCATTAAGAAATTAGAAAATACGATCACAACATGCAATCGGAATATTAAAATGCTTCGGGAACGCATTCATATCGGTTTATTGGGACATAAGTAAGCTGTTCGAGCTGCGAAGCCTGCTGAAAAGTTAGTCCTTTAAAAATACGTTGGAGAAAAGTACGGAGAAAAATCTACAATTCTATCAATAGCACTGCGTCTCTGCTAAACCGCATCTACTTCCACCATTATATCCAGCAAATATTGAGAAAATCCAGATCAAATTATTTGCAAGAATTCACCTTAACCACACATTTACAATGCATCAATGGATCCTATGGAAGGCTTCTGTTCGAATCTGCAATTGCGAGCAAATTCTTACAATATAACCTCATGGACATTGTAAAGTCGGCTGCACGAATGAACGCACTATTACAAGTACTAACCTCAATATCTAGCATTCTTTCCTAAAACAGCCGATAGCCTATGTTGCTAATGCTCAATTTGTTTTATTTTAGTCTAAGCATTTATTTCATGAATAAATTGTTAGTCGACATAGTATTAATTATGTAATAATTGATCCTTTGAAATTTTCCTTTCCACTATGCACGTTGATCTAAATGCACATGCAATTTCATTCATTTCTAGGAATTTATTATACAATGGCTATGATGGGACCCGCTTTCGGTTACGTGGTCGGCGGCCAATTACTTTTGGTATATACAGATTTTTTATATATCGATTCAAGCGAGTAAGTATTTCCACATAGTTACAAATGTACCTATATGTATATATATATATATATATATATGGGCAGACAGTTTATGAGAAAATAAAGATAGCTCTTTAGCCTACGGTATGCATAAAGTCACTATAACTCGTTCACCCAAGGGTGCGTAGAAGAAGTCTTGAAATCAGGTGAAAAATAAATAAAAAGAAAAAAAAGCATTTCGTTTAAGTTAATTAAAAGCTGGAAAATAACTTTTATCGCATGACTATACGTAAGAATTTGGGACGTTTAAGATTTTACTATGTGAGAAATTTGATTCTTTGTATGCCTGATTACAGCAAAGTGACTGCAATAATATTTAGTTTCAAACTTTTTGTTCACTTAAGCGAAAACTAATTTAAAAAAGTTTTTTTTTATACATTTTATTTTATACTTTTTAATTCCTTTCTCCCTCTCTCTCTCTCTCTCTCTCCCTTTCTCTCTCTATTAAAATTCGCCTTTTACTTATCAATTCTTCTTATTTGCGGCTCATATTAAAGAGATTTCGTTTGTTAAGAACAAGATAATCCGCCATAGCGACCGCCATTTTGAATATACAGAAAAGTCGACTGTACTGCATTCTACCGTTATTGAAGACATATTGGAGGGCCCAAAATTATCATACGACAATTTTTCTTTGGGCGGCCGCTATTATGCATATTGTGTCGGACTACACTGTCATCGTAACTAGAGGGGCGGAAAGAGCTTGCGCACATTAGGATATACGGCAATATTCGAAATAAAAGCTTTAAAGTACTTATCCTAAACATTTAAAGAGATACCCTTACCACGTATAAATTTCAAGTGATTTGGAAGCAGATAGCGATCAGAAGGTTTTTTAAGACAGTTGCGAGCGAGTTAAGGAACCGAGTGAAATAAAACCTGTTAAGAGAAAAACTTAAGGCTGCATTTAGTGGCTATTTCCTTTGTTCAACGTAAATCCTTGAAATGACAATCCAAACATAATACGTTGTTGTTGAGCTTATGAACCTTTAGTTGGATAAGCTCATCTAAAAATCATCTTCTGATTCTATTCTGATCAAAAATATATAATATTTCTTTTTTTCTAATTCCTTTCAATTTTAGATTGGGTCTGACAAGCGACAGTAAAGTGTGGATAGGTGCTTGGTGGGTTGGTTTCCTCATAGCCGCAATTGTTTGCTTTCTACTAGCGATATCTATTTCGGGTTATCCAAAAGTTTTGCCGGGTGCTGAAAAATTGCAAAAACAAAGAAGCTCAGAAGCGTACAACGATAATAAAACATATCAAGGGAACTCATTCAATTATACGAAATTCAAGGAAATGCCCTTAGCCGTGGCAGTTCTATTAAAAAATCCAACTTTTTTTTTTTTAAATTTAGCGGGCGCTTCTGAGGGTATGATCATTGCAGGCTTTGCGGCATTTTTACCTAAACTAATTGAAAATCAATTCAGCATTTCACCGGTATTGTCTGCCCTAATAATGGGATTGATTACTATACCAACCGGAGGAGGCGGCACATTCTTAGGCGGATATTTGGTGAAGAAATTTGATCTATCTTGCGGTAATATCATCCGCCTGTGCTTAATAGCAACTACGATTGCTACAGCTTTTACAAGTTGCTTCTTATTATCCTGTCCTAATTTGGACTTCGCAGGTGTTACCATCGATTATCATAAGAATCAAACGTCTGAAGCAAGTTTGAACGCTATGCAGTTAGAGGTCGCATGCAATGCAAATTGCTCATGCAGTCGTGATATATATGATCCTGTTTGCGGTATTAATGGCATAATGTATTATAGTCCTTGCTTTGCGGGTTGCTCGGATGAATCGATAAAGAACGATGAAATTAAATCGTACGTAGAATGTGAATGCATTCGATACGATAGTATCCATAACCATACTTCTAATTTTGAAGCGGTCAATCTTATATGCCCATCGAAGTGCAGTCGTCTGCCTTATTTTGTGATGCTATGCTTCGCCCTTATGCTTTTCACGTTTTTGGCGACTATGCCGGCTTTATCGGCCACACTGAGGTAAATTTTTTTGCCTTTACTGCTAGGCTTTTCCTTCCTTTCCCCCCAACCATATTCCCCGTCTCGTCCGTCCCGTTAAAATTTTGTAGCGTCAAGGAAAAAATTCGTAGTTTTCTTTCTTTTTGGGAGACAATTTTGGAGGCAATTGATTTTAATAACACTGATCCGTCAAGTAATGCTTTAGCGCGCGGGGAAAATGAGAGGCGTTAGATAATTCGAAGAAAAGAAATAACGTTCAATTCAGTGGAAAGTAATTGCGTTCTGGATAAGGCAATAACGGTTCGTAGGCCTACGACTGGCATTTGATTCCTTGTCTGCAGCACTCTATTATTGGTGTGAAGACGCCTTCAAGAGAGATATGTGAAAATCATTTCGTTTAATTTTGCTCAGAGATTCTGCGATGATGACATAGCAAGTATGGGCTTTAATAAATCTTATTACAAATCTAAGGAAAAAGTGTTTAAATTTTGATGAAAAAAATTCATGAATTTTCTTCTTGATCTATTGTTATATTGTTTGTTATCCCTTATTGGGATACCTACTAAACCACAAATTGAGATGCAAAGCAGGGAAGCACACAATTGACAAAAAATTCGAATTTAAATCCACAAGAGATATTGATGGAAAGTTAAAAGACATTGTTTCCACCAACCAAGGACTAAATAACAAAACACAGCCAAAAGTATTCAGATAGACTAATGAACATACACAGTTGAGTGTTCGCAAAAACTGATTCTAAACGAAGTTTTTTAAGTTACGAGTTTTAAAATTAATTTGTCGGCATCACAGCAAAGACAAGACTTGCACAACAGCCGAACAGAAACTACTTCAAAGTTGACATTCAGAGAGAACACATACAAACATCGCTGGCAAATAATTACAACTGCAAGACTCGCCTTTCGCGTTCGTTTTAAATAACAATTTCTTGATTTCTTGTATCTGAGGTGAATTTAAATGCATATGAGTGCGTCTTTTTAGATGTGTCTACGATGACCAGCGTTCATTCGCTTTGGGCATACAATGGATAAAAGTGCGATTGTTGGGGACAATACCAGCGCCCATGATTTTTGGTACTCTTATCGATGAAACATGCCTGCTATGGCAACAACAACGTGGCGATCATCAAAGTGGAGCATGTTTAGTCTACGAAAATTTTCATATGAGCAAGTAAGTAGTTTTTTCTTTTTCCATTAAGAACAGTTCACCTATCGATGTAAGCGCGATGGAGGAAAAGAGAAAGAGGGACTTAGTTGGCAGCAGGTTGGTAAATTTTAGGTCGTAATGGAGCAGAGTATCAAGAGGAAGCAAAAGCCAAACTTGCGAAATTCAACTTAAGAAAGATCTTTCGATCGAGCTATTTTTGCAATATTTGTTTGGCTTTTAATCGAATGCTATGCCGTAGTTAGTTTATCAGTTAACTAATTATTGGTAAAAAATGTTTCTTTTTCATCACATCCACCCTATCAATTGAACCCACAAGCCCAGTCGGACTCTGTGATTATATAAATGATTTTGTGATCCATTTCCGGTAGATAACTTATCGCTTTCCCTGGGATAATAATCGACTGTTTGAATTCTGATGGGCTAATCCCTACTCCATAGCCACGAAATGTTACAAAAACTCTTCGGCTTTCTTTTCTTTTCTTGCACTATACACTTATACTCACACATATATATACAAGAGTATATATACATATGTACATAAACACACACACACACACACACACAAGCGCGTTCGCGCGCTCGCTCATTCACACACATATATATATATACATATTCATTTATTTATGTTTATTGTACATAGATCTCCATATATATACAACTCTCCTATTCAGATAAGATTATTGGCAAGCAAACTTGATCTATATCCTTCGCAGCCATCACTTTTCGTAATGAGAAATTTTTGTAAAAATTAAAATGAAACATGATGTCATGATATCCGCTAATTTAACGCTTTTCGTTTACATTAATTGCTTGGGCGCAGGTGGACACGCAGCAGTGCATTCTCTGTTTGTTATATCAAAATTCACAATTTCTCATGGCGACATGGATCATCGTTACTCTCTCTGTTTCGAATCTGCAATATACGGTTTTTTTTTCTACTCAATTATCTCGTGCAATAATATTATCTTATGGCGGTTTAATAAAATTTAAGTCAAGTTTGAATTAATTTATCTTAAAAATTCTTGCTAATCGAACTTGCAAATTCAATTACGTGCCGTATTTAATTAAAAGATTCTTGAAATAATGCTTTAACATTTAGCAGATATTTCGTATTTTCTATATATATATATATATATTTCCAGATATATGTGGCTCTTGGCTTTCATTGGTAAACTGTGTTCGGTTGTGTTTTTCTTTGCTGCTTGGTGGTTTTATATACCACCCAAGCAACATGTTAAAAGCAATAACAGCGGCACCAACAACATCGCAGATATCAGTACAATTGATGCTATGACGGGCTGAATGTGTTGCGTATAAACCCAGGCACATGAAGGCATTCATTGAACGCATTGTCAATTGATAAAAGTGTTTGTATTTTCTTATAATATTGCACAACGTGAAGTAGTCACAGCATTTATTACTAAAACAAGAGAAACAAAAAAAAAAAAAGAAGAAGAAGATTTTTAGTAAAACATGCAAACGTTGAGATGGAAAATTTTTACACATAAAAATGAAAATTTTTATACTAAATAAATATAATAAGTTGAGTAAATGATGTTCTAAAGTCTTCTTTTAGTTGCTTAGAAACACATGACAATATATGTCATACGAGAAAATCGAGTCATGATTAGGCAGATTAGGCAGATTAGATTACGTTTACTGCGGCCCGTAATAGATTCTGAAAGATGCTGCACAATTAAAGCATTTGTTGTATTGTCATAAAAAATGATTGAAATAAATTTTATTATTCATCTTTTACTTCACTGAAAGGTATTGTTAAGAAAAATTAAACCAACTCGTCGTGATGTTCATCATAATTAGTTTAGAATTAACACAAGTAAATTTTCGCATATCAATTTATCCACCATTCAATGACGTCCATCATAACAAATTTGGAATTGAAGCACTTAGTTCATCTCTTCTTTATTTGATACCCATATCGCTGGTATTATTGTGAAAAAAATTAATTCGCCATATCGTGGGCTCCATCATAATTATTTTAATTAATTCATTTTCAGGTTGAAAATATGTAATATATTCGTTTGAGGAATGTAAAAAATGGTTAATAAATAATAATACATGGGCATGGCCAATTTTTTCAAGTCTTATGAGTTCTCCGTAAAACGAAATTGTGGCAAATTTTTGATCTTCTATCGGTCAGCATTTGCGAGTAATGAGCAAAAGACCCCAAAATGATTGCTTAGAAAAACGAAATTGCGTTCAGTTTACGCTTTACTGCGGGCTTGTGATCTGAACAATTTGGTCCATTTTCAATATCAATGTGTGTGTAAAGAGTTCCAATGTTTCTACCACGAGAATGTCAACAACACACAGATGGGCAGACATGGCTTAATCAATTCAAAATTTCATACTGATCCACTGGTCCACCACCATCCACTGGAAGACTCTTGTTGGATATTACAAAACCTTATGAAGAGTTGAGTATACCACCCATCCTTCAGTGATCAATATAAAAACAAAAAAAACAAGCAGCCGTAATAGCGCCTTAGCTTCCTTTAGATTGGATGTACTATGGACGAGTTTTGATTTGTTATCTAAAAGTATAAGACGGACAGATATGCGAATGGAACGCCGAATGAGTGCAAGAATATTTACATCTTACAAAGTCTGATGGATATTTTTGATTGTTACAAACAAATGCACAAATCCAATGCACTTCTATTTATCTATTGCGGCGCTGGGTGAAGTGATTCGAAAAGTTAACTCAAAATCTGAAAATTGCTGCTCGAGCGCGATAAGAGAGAATGAGCAAAAAAACAAAACAACGGGTCGAGATGTAAACTTTCCGATCAAAATGATTGTTTGTTCTTACGTTGACTATCGGTTTGAAAGGTTCGCTTTACATTTTCGTTTTCACTTAGGCGAGTGGACATGTATCTTGTGATCTCGATTATACGCAGAGGCATTTTAAGAAAGCACATACATCGTCACTGTGTCTTAGGTGCAACTATATATTAAATATAAATAAAAATACAAATATATATATAAAAATAAATAGAAATTTATAAATAAAGCAAAAGGATTTTTTTTTTTTTTTCTCATTTATTTCAAGAATAAATAAAAAAAAATCACTAATTCATGAAATTTAATTGCAAAAAAATTATAAATGAAGGCGTACGGTAAATATTAAATATTACGATTACGAGATAAGACTTGAGTTTAAAGATTATTAACTTAATTATGTGAGTGGTCGTCTTTTCTTAGCAGTGGCTTTACTTTTTTCAGAAAACTTTTTAATTTCTTTTTCAATCCAGTCCATGTAAGCAAACGTTGACGTGTAAACAATTGGCCGAGTCGATTCACCGCAATCGATATCAGCGTAATTTAGAATACCGACTAACACTTCACCAACATTTGGTGTGACAAGCACGGCTGCACTACCATCGTTACCACCACAAGTAGGATCGATATAATACGACGTAATATTACTGTTCTCATCCATTGGTCCCTCCATCATCATTTCGTCGCTACCAGGGCCAGAAGTGCACGGCCCTGTTATTTGAGTGCAAATATGATGGGAATCTATATCAGAATCGTCACCCCAAGGGACTTTGCACTTATCGCTGTCAATTATTTGCAGATCAAGAGTTTGCAACTTCAATGATTTGTGTAGTTGCCATCCATACATCTTGCCACGGCCGTCGTCGAGGCATTCCTTTAACGGCAAAGGTATAGGTTGTACAGCACTATCATAATCGAACGGACTCTTCACATAAATAAGACCAATATTATGGGGATCAATATTTTGTTCCTTATCACTTTCTTCTGAATTTGGGTTGTCGTGTGTATAACCCTCGTGAATATTTACATAATTATGATTAGTGATCTCACGGATTTGAGATGTATGCTGCTCGAACGGACGGACAAGGGAGCGCACGCCAGCAATAACTTGAAAATTAGAGTCAACGAGTGAGGACAAACAACGAGCAGAGGTTAAAACCCAATTGCTGTCAATAATTGAGCCTTCGCAGAACGTGTTATTGCCTTTTATTGCGACGACAAATCGACCTTCGCCTCTCGCAACATCACGAGGCGGACAGACCAGGAAATGATCAACGGCTTCAACGCTCTTCTCATTGGTGTCATCGTCTATTTGCAACTCGTCATCATAAATTGGCGGAGTTTCTCCTATTGAGCCATCCATTGTAGAAACTATCATTGCAATAGCAAAGGTAATTATCCGAAAGAATCCCATATTAAACTCGTAGTCTTTAACAGAAAAATCCTGATCGTTTTTATTAAATGCGATATATATCAATATATTTGCTGCCGATGTATGTTAGTAGTTAACACATTCGATTTCTTTATAAGATTTACGTTGAAAATGTTGTTCTTTTATAGCCAAGCAATAATAATAATAACTTGTGATATTCTTCTTGTTTCAGTACGATAAGTTACGATAAGTTTACAAAACAGATTTTACATCCAATTTTCATAAATTTTTTTTTAGTTTTTTTTTTTTTTCATTTTTTAATTAGTAATGTAATATTACATGCACATGCATGAAATTGAAAAATAATTAAAAATTCTCAAATATACATGTGTAAGTTTTTAATAGTTCATTAAAAGAAAAAACGAATGAATAAATGAAATGTAATTCCTAGAACCGAACGATAAGCGAACTCTTCTCACTCAAAGAATCGAAGAAAATTTCAATGTTTTGTGTTCAGCTCGTCGCCCGGTATAGGAATACAGGAGTTGATCGCATCCGGATTGAATTTTCGTGGCGAGTTTGTCTTCTCTTTCATTCCATTCACAACGAAATATTTATGATATTGTTGTGCAATGAAATAAAAGATTTAATAAAGAAATTGATGAAAAAACGAGAAATCATTTAGAAAGCAAAGTTCAATAAATTGATTATGTTATTGGTTTTTTTTTTTTTTACTTCCATACTTGTGCTCTTTCTCCTTTTGGGCTTTTCCTCATCAATTCTATGTTTTTCTTCTGATTTTCCCAACGATCGTCACTCCAAGAATGTGAGAATTTACTTAGCAGTGAGAATTTACTTTGTCACCTTTTTTTTTTGGAGATTAGTAGATCTCGTTTGTTTTTTTTTTTTCAACTGAATTGTGACCCCTTTTCTTCTCTCTCAGAATCCGGAAGATTATACTTTTAAAGTATTTACTTATTTCCACCTTTTTGTCATTCCCAGAAAGTTTTTCGTTAATTCCATATTCATTCATTCAAAATGGCATTTTACATGCGTGGTCGACCAAGCAAATAAGACTTGAACGTCTCGTGCAATGCATGACAAATGGACAGACAAGTGTGGTTAAATTCATTTGTACGTATGGACATATCCATACATACGTACACACACATAT